GAAAATTTGGAAAGACAATGGCAGTTGAAAGTATCTGATGAAATATAAAAGATGGCTTATCTCATTGTAAAACTCTAGACAAGTTTTCACCTGCTGAAATAAATCATTTTAATTTTTCATTCCGAGAAACCTTTCTTTGAGTACACCTTTCTATTTTTGAAGACATTCGACTGTAACTTTTTATTGGTTTGTGACTTAATTTTTTGAAAAAATTGGAAACCTTTTTAAATACATGTCGTAAAGTCTTAGAAACAAAAATATTTGAGTCTGAAAAATTTTTATGAAACTTTACTGGTCTGCAGAAATTTTTTTCTGGAAAATTGCCAGTCCAATGTCCAGAAAATGTTTGGGAAAACTGGTATGTATAGAAAAAAATTAGAGATAGAAATGGTGGTGTCCCTCAGAAGCTGAATATATGAAGTCTGCTGCTCGCTATTGTGCATTAGAATGCACCACCTACTACTGTACTATTCGGACCATAGCAGCAGTCCTCATCTCTCCACAGGCCCCCCTTTGTTTCCCCACCTGACCCAGGCATTTTTCCACGGATCTTCGCAAGGCTTGCTTTCAGTCTCGTTTTCTTGAATCCCATCATACACGAGTATAAATAAAGGCAGCCCCGTGGCTGATTTGGGGCGAGATGAATTGCCCTGTTCGTCTGGCTCCCAAGCGGTCCGAGACCCGGTTTCCTCTTCTGTTTCTGCCCACCTTTTTTAATTTCGCGGATCCGTCTTCCACCTGCTGATGGACGCAGAACCTGTGATTTGGAACAGAGCTTGAATTCTGATGCGAGGCTGGTTTCAGAAACGAGGAACGAGATGAAAACCTCGCCTGAATATAAGCAGCTAGCAAGCTTTTTTTTTTCTTTCTTTTTTTTTTTTCTACCGGCGCCAGCTTCCATCAGACACAAAAGAAAGCATCGCATTTTATCGGCTGCGGAAATCGAACGATCGCTTGCTTTCATCTCTCTGCAGCACATTCTTCTTTTCTCTCTCCGCCTATCTGCTGTATATTGCATAGCTTGCATCACTCTTTATAGAAGAAAGACGAGTGAAACGTCTCTATACATATCCGTTGAACGAGACTTTCGACTTCTGTATGCTTCCCATAATCGAAACAGTGTTTCAATCACGATTTCCTGTTTCGTGGAAACATCAAAAAGGCTGTGCGACGAAAGAAAGGAAGTTATTTGATTGATTGATATACTGTATTCAGTACAAGCTTCATTTGCTGCTTTCCAGCTTCCGAAAGGATCAAAAACTGTTTCCCACCTCATTTTATTTTACATGAAAAAGAAACACCTCAAAAGGCAATTACTGAGCAAGAATTTTATCACAAGTTGGTTAACCTGATCCCAGATAACTTTTAAATGAATAATTCACTGGAAAAGAAGGCAATGCACTAACTTCCAACGTTTTCTCCATCTATCAGGAAAAATCCTGGTTTCTTGAGAATAAAGTAAAGTTTGCGGTTGATGTCGTTGTATGTCCAGTTTTACCAGTGAATATCTGAACATATCATCCTATAAAAAATTTCTAGAAGTACTCAGATGTGGAAACTATTTCGGAGAGCATCATATAAAAAATAAGTGTAGTGTTTCGTTCAAGGGAGAGTCATCGTGGTGCACCCGAGAAAATGGTCTCAGAAAAACGAGATTCATTGCTCTGACAAAAGTTTAATTAAATTGTGCATGAACCACATGCTAGTATATGTTTTTTTTTTTGGAAAAAGGTGTCTAACATGTGCGCCTTTCAATGACCACAAGGTCTATATATAGCAACAACGTTATGGTACAGGACAAAAAGTTCATGCCAAATAATAAAGACTGCGGTTTCTACGTATTTCCCGATGAGAAAATGCAAAGAATTCCGACTACTTCCAGAGGAATTTGCAACTAAATCTGCCGATAAGCTTGATGTTATTGATGAAGCAGCAAATGTATTCCATCTGGACAAACATACGAAACCTTCACATATTTTCCTTGGGTTCGTAGAAGAAATCCCCAACTGAACCATACCATTGCAATGATTTATGAAAGGTGCACCAGAGCAGCATGGCTATTTATGAGTGCATCTCCTGCATCTCCTCAGTCACATTTATAATCAAGTAGTGTCTCATCGTCATCAAAGCAGAAAGTCAACCTGTGAAGAATTAAAAACGCTTCAGACTTGGACCCTTTTTGTTGTTGTTGTCCAGTACTCAGAGCGAGCATTTAGCAGGGGGGCTCCAAGAAGAAAAATGACCTGCAATTACAGTTAGTGGACCAGCCAGTTAACTAACCGACCCATAAGGCGGAACACTATACCCATTGAAGCCATATAGACTGGATCCACGAGAGTGATCCCAGCGCTTTTCTCAGCAGACAAGAAAAGACCTGATGGTCATTCAGAACCGGGTCAAAAAGGAGAAGGAAAGAAAGAAAGAAATTCATAATACTATAAGTGACTTCAGAAAGGTATTCCCGGAAGGTGGAGAAATGGAGAAGAAGCAGCAGCAGAAGGAGAGATGGCGATGAAAAGCCATCAGTGAGTAAAAAATGAGTGCCTTTGTATAAAAACAAAAAAAGATGAATGGATGGTGGTCACGTGGAAACTAGAGCGTTGGCGGCGGCGACTGAATTGCAGAAGAGGACAGCAGCAGCAATGAGGAAGGAAGTGAGGAAGGCGGCAGTCCGTCACACATTCCCCAACTGCCGCCAATCGGAACGCCGCCGCCTCGTATTATTGCCGCCCTGCAGCATTCCACCTGATCCCGAGCCATGAAAGCCAGCTCCATTCCTTGTTGCGGACACGTATTTATTCGCGTTATAACGAATCCTATTATGACGAATAGTCGATGAAGTCAATTCTTAGATCCCTGCTGCATATGCCCATCAGTAGCAGAAATATCGAAAGAGGTCATTCATAACGAATATCTTCTTTTCGACGAAGCCTTTTCCACTGGTCCCAGTGTGGCTTCGTTGTAGCGAGATTTTATTGTACTTGGATCTGCGTTTTCTTCGCATGGAAAACAGATGAAATAATGAAAGATCTGCGTGGTATATATTGCACCAAACACGCATCATATTATACGCAACCCAAAGCACGGGGGGTTTTTTTTTGTCCGACCTGGTACTTTCGATCATCAATCATTGCAGCTGCTGATGGCTTTACGATTTAATTACACCCTCGCGTTTCTGTGCTTCATAGCTTCTTGTGGCTCATCATGGAACACGTAGAAGGAGCAAACTGAGCCTTTTTTTTTCCTAGTTTCATCCCTCTTCTCCATTTTGTTCACTTGAAGATCGTGGTCCGAAGTTTCCCCTTATATTCGAATATTATACACACCTACGTTTCCAAAACCTTTTGTGAAAATTGCATGACATGCACCTCCGCCTTTGCATCCTTTCAATTTTTTTATTTTAAGGAATGTGCGTGTGGTCCTTGAGTAAATGGAAGTACTTTTTGCATCGGTATTCTGCTGAAACATATTAAAAATTACTGTCTTTCGTGGTCGACAAGGACTCTGCACGTTTCGTTTGTGATATGGCCCTTGGCCACATTCAAGCGGGGCAGCTCTGGACTAAAGATACAGTACTTCATAAGCTGACATGGCTTTATACACAAAAGTTTATCGGGCGGCGGATAAGAAAGAATTCGTTACCGAGAAATTTGCTCGCGGAATTTCGGAGCAGAGATGATGAAGATCCTGATGGTTTTGCAGAGTTTAATACGTGTCTGACGCAGGCCGCCTCGCCGTTGATGACGGCGGCGGCGGCGGCGGCGCTCTCTGCCGTGATGGCGGCATTCCTTCACGGTCCGCCGACTGCGGTGACCGTACACGTATATACTCTTGATGTGCTCCGGGGAAGAAAGGGGCGCCTCGAGTTCGGTCCGATAAATCTGCTTCGTCTGCATCTGATATCTGCCATCTCATATAGTGTATATCTATTTCGTATTTTGCGGAGTTTCGTAAACTTTTATATTCGCGAACAAGCCGTTATATTGCATAACTCTCTGCGACTTGTTCTTTTCTTACGTGGCTCTCGTTTAGGAATTTGAGCCCCGTTTCACTCTTTGAGTATCGTTATTCCGGAATCGACGAAACCCTCACAATAATAAACACTCTCAAAATTGTATCGCTAGACTTTTTTTTTACCCCGCATCTTGATGAAATTTGTCGCCGAAAACTACAGTACAGTACTAATTATAAATGTCGACGAGAAGAATCTGGGAAATCTCTGCGATGAATAAACGGACTTGAGGACGCTTGAAACTAAAAAAAAACCTGCGGTATTACGCGAGATTTCTATGAACGCATTCCAAAATTAAAATTTCGAGATTCGATGTCTCTTGAAAAAATTGAGCCTTTTAAATTTCCAAAAATGAAGTCATAATAAATTGCTTCACAATTCATATAAGTCTGGTTTTAGTGCTTGTTTTGGCAACTTCATCCCAATCAATTGTGCACCGAATTAGAAGACAGGGTTTTTTTTTGCTGTTTGCACTCCTTTTCATGCCGAAAATTCCCATCATGTATGGTTTTATCCTGCGCTTTTTTTCCTGTACACTCGAAGTTGAAAAAAATCTTTCATGTAAATTTTTGGGGGAGTTTTTCCTGATTTTTGATTAACAGAAGATCTGATTCAATAAATTCCCGTCGAATTCAAAGTTTTAAAAATATGATCCAACATGTGGACACGACACAGACGCACTCGGATTCGGACACAGCGGGACAAGGTTATCGATGAACAAATTATGTCCGCATCTTATATCGGGGCAAACTGTTCACTCTACTTTTTTTTTCTGAATTCCAATTGTGGAAAAAAGAGCATTGAGACGTTTTCTGTGTATCCATTTCCGCTTCCCGAACTAGAGCTCTTCATCGTCAGTTGTTTTTTGTTTCTCTTCTCCCATATGCATTACAGTATATGTTCATATCTTTCAATGAAAAGCATTCAGAAAAAATTGGACAAATTGTAGATGCAAATGAATGATTTCGGTCATTAGAGGAAAAACGAGATGTTGATATCACTTTTCGGGTGGGTTTTTTCCCCCCGTCAAGATTGATGCGATGATGCAAATTCAGCACTGTGCTCATCAGCAAAGATGATCAGCTCATTAATTAACGGACACGTGAGATGGGATCGCTTCAATTTTTTCTAATGCCTTTTCATCGCCGTAGTGTGTCACGAGTCCGTTCCTTTGTGTCTTCATTCAAGATTATTTCCCGCTCACACAAAAAAAATATCAGTTTGTTGAGACGTTGTCCGAGACGAATTAGAAAAGAACGTTTGCCTTAGTTTTACTGTACACGATTTAATGCTGAAAAAAACCGCGAGTAAAATCGCAATTAACTCGAATAATTCGATGCCTTTTACTTGAGAAATTTGGTTTGCTGTTTGTCGAGTGTAAAATTCTCCTGACTTGTTCCAGGCATCATCATCTTGATTATTCCCCAAAAAAAATTTGCAGTGTAATCTCGATATACGGACGATTCGACTTGGGTGCTCTTTAAACTCTGAATAATCCTCTAATTCTTATTTCCAAAACTGGCTAATTTTGTCTTAATTTTTTCAGAATCATACAAATCATCCGATCAGGGTATAGATCTATAGAAGGACTTAATTGTGCTTGTTCTTTTCTTTTTTGGGCTCCTTCCATGGCCAACAAAATCAGATTCTGTGTGGTTTTCATCTGCAGTCATTTCCTGCATCTTGAAGTTGAGAACAATCATTTTTTCTCAATTTTTGTTCGGTACTTTATCCCAATTTTTGATCAACAGGGGAATTTTGTCACGAATTGCGTTCGCATCTCGTGGCACCACTTGATATATTTTTTGATGATAATGATTAATTCATCATGAGATTAACTTCATTTCTTTCTTTTTTTGCAGCTACTACGGAGCGTCGACAAACGGGTTCTTCCGCGGCTTCGACCCGCGGCCCGGGTTCGCATTCAAGGGCGCCGGGCCACTCTACGGCCTAGGACCCGCCAAGGACCTGAGTCCCAAGGGCGCCGTGGAGGCGACTGCAGTCGGCGGAGGTGGTCTCGGTGGTGTGACGACGTCGGCCATGCTGGACATGTCGTCCACCCAGGCCCTGCTGAACGTGGTGCGGAATGCGAGCCCGCAGAACGCGGCCCAGCTCGAGAACTACCTCCGCAACGTCATGGGCCACAAGCGGGCCATGGACGCCGCTGCTCCGCCGGCGGGCGCCGCCAACCCGCTCGACCTGTCCCAGCCGCCCATCAAGAAGACCAAGCTCGACTACGACTTGCACCCGTACGGCAGGTAATGTGTGAATAGTGAACGCAGTTAATTTTTGAGTTCATCATCTGTGATTGTATAATAACCCAACAATAGGTAAACAAAAATATAGTGAGAATAGATCAGAGACTAGATCATTCTCATGCATTCATTGATTGATCGAATGTTATTCAAACTTTATTTTCTACTTGTCAGGATTCACAACAATTTCCCATGTATCAATTCAAGACATACCAGCATATGTCAAGAATATTAAATGACTGTGGAGAGCTCTTCCACCGAGTTCAATATTTGAATCTTTTTAATTCAAATAAAGATGCGAAATGATCAGCCTGGGATGGGCAGGAAACTTTCATAATAAAATTCCGAAATAAACTTTGTTTCAATTCTGTCATCCCAACTGCAAGAATGCAAGTCAATTCAATCCGAGCAATTCACGCACCAATAAATCAATGATTACGGCTTAGCAAGGCTTTTGAATATTTCAACGCTGTACTTTGTTGATAATTTCCAATGATAATAACACAGTCATTTAAAAAATGCATCGCAATACATACACATGCATGAGTAATGAATTGTCCTTTTTTCAGGGATGAAAAACATTGCAGTTTAATGTTCTAAATATGTATCGCGCTTCAACATTTAACCCACTGTTTTCAAAAGCTGCCAATTCTTGTGTAATTGAGAAAAATCCAATTAATTATAACGGAATAGGAACGCGTTAATTTTTTTTTTCTAAGGGCGGGACGCATTCTTCATTCGTCGTAAGCTTATTCACGTGTTCTCCTTGTCAATTTGTTTTGTGCGTGTTAATATTTTCAGCCGAGACTTCAAGGACCTGTTCGGCCTGCGGTCGACGTCGTCGTCGTCGTCGTCCATGCCCTCGGACAAGGAGGACACCGTTCCCAAGGCCGCCTCGCCGACGGGCTCGTCCGCGTCCGTCTGTTCCCCGAGAGGCGGCCTGCAGCAGCAGCAGCAGCAGCCCGCGACGCCAACCAGCAAGCAGCTGCAAGGACCTCCGCAGTCGCCGTCGTCGTCGTCGGTGGGCCAGCAGCAGCAGCAGCAGCAGCAGCCGGGCTGCCTGGCCTCGTGCGGCGACCGCCTCTGCGCCGCCAAGCGCGAGGAAGTCGAGGCCTGGGGCGTCGACCAGGTCTGCGGCTTCGTCCGCTCCATCGACATCTGCGCCGACTACGCCGACGTGAGTCCACTATACTCTTTCGTCATTCTCGCGGCTTTTTTTTTTATATCTCGTAATTCACTATTCTTATGATTGCTGCTCATTTGATGAGGCGTCCCAACAGCAGCAGTATCTTCTCTTTTTTTTTCTTTTTTTTTTTGTTGAGTATTCAGTGATGGATATACTCGTACATCAGCAAGAGTATTTTGTATCATCGGCAGCAGATCAAAGTCTGCGAAGATATTCTATAGGAATTTATAATTTTGCCAGCACTTGCATTAAATGTCGACAATGTTCGTTTCATTGCATCGACTTTTAATCTTCAGTACTTATTGCAACATGGGTAAAATGGTACTCGAGTTATCATGTATAGTTATACTCTGAATTCGACATGCATTTTGTCTTCTGCTTGTTCTTCCATGCATTTAAATAGTTGTTATTCTATGAACCAACTTGACGGCGAGATACATTCGACCCGTTTTAGGTCAAACTTTGAGGGACCAGAAAGGATTTCAAGTTGGTTGGGTTTCGAATTAGTGAAGCAATAAGCATTTTTGCTGCGGGTAGAGAAAGAAAGAATGGCAGGAAATTTTATTTGGTGATATTCTGGGCCTTTAATTTGATTTTGAAGCGAGGTAGAAAGGATTGCTGAACTTGGAGGCAAGGGTTCTTTTGCCCAATTAATCTTTCACTTCCTTTCAAAACACATCAACTTGCATGTGTTATTTTCTTTCTCTTTCCTCTGTCTAAGTAGAGATCTTCAGAAAATTTGAGCTATCGAATTTTGAGGGGGAAAGCCTTGAAGTTAGGAGGTTATCAAGGCTCATCTTTTATTCAGTTTTGGTGATGAAAACGATGAATATAATCATTTTTTCATCGACCAAAAATGAATACTCGATGGATAGTCAGCCTTTCTTATTCTAAGAATAAGAAAAGCTTCTCTCACATTGCGACTTTATGCTTCAACGATATTGGTGAGAGATTATATTTGCATTTAATACGCGAGAGCTTTCTGCTTTTCTGCAGTCACTTGTAATGGACTCATGGTTCACTCGAAATTTTAACAATAATATTTAACATTAATAATTGTTGTGATCGATTCTTTTACCGAGCAGAGGGTGACACAAAGCCGAATTTTGGGTAACATTTTTGAAAACACAGAAAAAGCCGTCTTCCTCAATTCCTTTATTTTTGTCCCCCAAACCTGTATACTGAGGTTAAAACTTGAAACACAATGAAAAACCGTAAGTTAGGAAAATGTGATACTGAACAAATTCCTGGTTATCTGCTGTCGTCGCGGGTTCGGGTCTCGAAAGGTCACCTTATCAAAAGACCAGAAGCGGAGGCCAGAAGAAGACGAAAGAAGGAACAAGAGATTCTGTTACTGTATTAAACTCTGGATCGGAAAAGACTGTGAAGTAGGAGAAACAATATCCCAAAAAAAAATAAAAATCACGAAGTAAAGCGAAGAAATGCGGTTTGGTCCAGAATACAAGTACATGTGGAACGACAGGTTTACGACCGACACGACGAAACCCACGCTGGCACAATGCACACGACTCACCCGTAAAAACGCGGAACAAACGTTCCTCTGACGCAAATAACTGCATCTCTGAAGAAAGAGAAGAGAAAAAAAATCACACACGAAATGACCGATGGATTGCTTCTTATTCCATTTTTTTTCCTTCAAGAACCGAAATTTCATAAATGATCATCAGCAGAAATAAAGGAGGAGAAAAACATAAAAACTGTATGTATGAGATTGATTTAGAAATTTTTTGTTGCTTCTAGTCTATATGGTTAATGCACTGCACCTCCCCGCGAAATTCGTAAAACCTCAAAAAGAAACGGCAACAAGAACCCTGCCCAGAGTCGTTTTATTCTTCAACTTATTACGAATTTTCATTTAAACATTAACAATATTATTATAATTTCTTCGTGCAGCAAGTAATTCGCGTGACGAAGTGCCCGGCGATTATTCTGGTTCGGCGCGCTTCTTACCTTCCAAACCTGCTGGGATGAGCTCGGTTTTTTTTTTCTTTTTGGCCTTGGGGCATTTGAAGCAGGTGCACTTATTGATGAATCGAACAGGTTGAATAATCGATTTCACAGACTCCGATCGGCCTTCGTTTTATCTTCCCCCTTTCGTGCTCTTATTTAAATTGGCCACAAAAGAGAAACGAACAGATAATATAGCATTCATTAATTAAAAAGTGGATGTTCCCTGAAATTCGTAGCAGTTTCCTTCCAAATATAACTGTTCTTTCATAAAGTTATTCCTTTTAAAATCTCGAAGTAAAGCTGAATAATTTTTCAGCTTCGTTTTGTATACTTCCAGTAATGCTAAATTTTGCTTAAGAAAAAACGATCATAGTTTTTCAAGGTTTTTCAATTATGCTTGTGCTGGGTTTCCTACACCCTGCCAATCAGTAAAAATTTCTATGAACCAAGTGCTCGTAATAAAAAGCAATAAAAACGAATTATGCTGATATTATGCCGGAATATTTAGTTTTCTGGAACAAAAGTTTAATAAAATTGTCCCTATATGAAGGAACTGCCGAGGCCAAGAGAAAAAACGAGATTCCTTGGGGCGGAATTACTGCATAAATAACCTAAACTCATTTTATTTTTTTTTCTGATATGCACCCCCTTTTCAAAGATTTTATTCGGCCTTCTTTTTTTAATTGTCGACCACTGCGATCCAGATCAACGTACGGACGAACATGCTCTAAAGTCTAAGGAAATGTATAGACACGCGTGATGCTGTTATACTGATGGAAACGGCGCCTTTTTTATTTTGAAAATCGCAGTTTTTTTTTTTTTTTGCGGGACAACAGCACACGCTGCACGCAAGACGGATGATTTAGGTGGAGCGAAAAGGTGCCCGATCGCATTTGCATCCGCGGCGGCGATGAGTGCTTTTGATTCACGGCGGCCTCGCGTGGGCGTCCCTGTTCGGGCGGCGGTTATGAATATTTGCGCACCTGTTGCTCCCGATCCGTCGCCGCGATCCATCACTCGCGGAGCGGTGAGTAATGACCGCCTCCTCCTCGTCGATCGTCCGGCTCAATTTGGTTGCCTTTATGCAGTATTATTTTTTTTATTTTTTTGTTGGGTGGTTTCAACGCGGGAATATTGTGAAATATGTAGAGGGACTTTTTATTTATTTTTTATTTGTGTTTTATCGAAAGACGAGTCGAGGCGAGGCGCGCGTGTGCCGCCTTATGGTCTCCTCGCATCCGGGATTTATTATCGCGAGTCGACTCTGTCCTCTGGCGTCGCTTCCATGCCGAGTCCGTACAGTACGTCCATCCGACAGCATAAATCTGGACGCCACGTATCAGACGAGAGAACGACCGCCGCCCGTGTTGGCAATACTGACTGGCTTAATCTTTGTTCCTTGGCGGCGGTGGCGGCTGCTGCTGCTGCTGCTGCTGCTGGTCGACAATCGGTCCTCGGGGTTCATCAGGGCGGCTGTGGTTCGGGTACTGCTGTGTGTGTAGGCATGACTCTTTGTTTGCTGTGCCACGCCCTTTGATACATGCAAGGAGGTTTAATGGATGCCTTTGGAATATAGACACTGAAATGGCATGTGATTGACGGAGACAAAAATAGGCCAACTGCTTGACATTTTTTTGTTTGCTTTGAAAATGAGATTTCTGCAAACGTCGTTTCCCCTGGCAGCTTTCTGCTCGTCATTGAAAAGCTGAGTTGCCCATCTCGCAGAACCGTTTTTTTTTTCGTTTACCCCGGCTTCGTCTTTCGAATTCTGGATATCGACATGGCATTCATTTCAAGGGTTGCCATTTTATTGCCTTGTCAATTATAAAAATTATAAAGGAGAAGCTGGGCTATACGCAAAGAAATCTGCGAGATTGGTGCCTCATCTCTGCAGTGAAGAACAGGTATTGCTGCCAGAGTGACTTTAGTAGAATAAAAATTTTAAAAATCCTGCGAACTAGGAGAAAATGCCTGAATTTATTTCCTGTGCGAAGGATTGAAAGGTTTGGAAAAAAACCATAAAAAACGAGATGAGTTTGCAAAAAAAGAGTTTGAGAAATTAGTTCCCAAGACGAGGGTTTTCATCAATAAAGACACTCAAACAATTAATTTTTTAATTTCCCGCTTTCCGCTTTGCATAGAATTACATCACTCTGCTCCAAAATGTGTTAGAGACAGTATTTTATGCCAACATATTATGTACTATATATTGTTTTGTTTTTTTCAAAAGCTCGTTTCGAACATTTTAGGTTATTTGTGGTACATTGTTTTTTTTTTCTTGGATGCTGAGGCGATGACCTCTATTATTTTCCCCGAGGCAATTTTTTTCCAATTTTTTGCAGCCTTTTTTTTTCAAAACCGCGGAATGCTCTGATCGTGTGGTGGTGCATCCAGCTGTCGACAGAATGCTTTATTTTTCTCTAAACTCCGTGGTTTGAAGAAGGGTTTTTTTCTTTTCTAGTTTTTCTGGCGTGAAATACTATATGCTCCTATTAATTTTACATCCTGCTGCTTCACACGGGGGAAAATTTTCGAGGTGTTTTTTATCTTCATTTTTTTGTTTCTTGCTTTGATGGAAGAGGAAATTTTCTCGTTTGCATTTCTCCTTGATGGAATTTTTTAAATGTCATCGTGATTCAACGTCGTTCAAAGGTGTAATAATTGATAGTGGACTCGGAAATATTTTAGTAATATTTGGATTACGGGCTTGAAGCCCAGCAGTGGGACCCTGACGTAAGGATGATTCGACTTCGGGACATTTGAAACTCAAAACATCTGCCCTGACAATAAACAGGAAAAAATCTCGTGATACAAAAACCCCACCAACTTTTCTTGAAAAAACTTGTATTTTTCAAAATGTTTATATTTCTTGACCAAATTTGATCATTTCATGTGCAGAAATATTAAAAATCAAGTTCATCAAGAAATCACTATGTACTACATTTCATAAACCAAAACAGTAGGTTATTATTTGGTTTTTTTTCAAGTTATTTCCATCATCTAGGCAGACTGAAGCAAAATCTCTGCTTGTTCTTTGCTGTTCGCCTTTTTGTGCTCCTTTTCATTCCCAAAGATCAGATTTTGTGTGTTTTTTTTCTGCACAGTTGTTTTCTGTACTGTATCTTGAAGTTAAGATGCACGATTTTATTCAATTTTTGGGGTACATTCTTCCAAATTTGTGATTGACAAAAGCGCCAATTTAAATTTTTATTCCCATTGAAGTCCAAGGAGAAAAAATGTAATTCGACGAGCAGACATCCTGACGTAGAAACGATGTTTAATTTCGAACGTCCGCATCTCGGGACCCCACTGTACTGTATTTTGAAACTTTTGCGCTGTCCTTTCTTGAGATACAACAGGGAAATACTTGATGAAAGCTGGGCTTCTTCTTTCCGTTCGTTCCTGGGTTTGAATTCGACTCGGCATTTTGCTAGTCTATAGTATCTTCTGGGGAATAAAGGATAGCAAATGCGAAAAGAAGGAAGGAGAAGAAGACAAAAAAAGAAGAAGACGATGCAATATAATGATTAGCAGTAGCTTCCTTGGCAGCAGCAAGGTAGCTACTATACGTATACCTTCTTCTTCCTCCTCGTCGTCGTTGATCGGTGTCCGGTCATTCCTTGCTTTCCTCCTTCTTTTCCATGTGGCGAGAAAACACAAGCCCCCGAAGAGACACAATTTGTCTCATTCTTTTCTCGGCTCCTTTCAGTCTCGGCTCGGTCGTAATTTGGACGGATCAGCCCGCTGCAAAATCCGCCTCTGGTCACGTCCGCTGCTGGCCCGAGCTGCATACCAAATGCGGACCCGCAATCAGAGCTCTCCTCTCTCTCTCTCTCTCCCTTTCTCTCTCTCTCTCTCTCCGCCACACCAGTCACGAGAAAATACTTGATGAACCGCGATAAGGCCCAGGGAGAAAAAAAAAATATATATACATGAAGAAGAATATCTTCATATAATAATATAATATAGTATAATGTACGCACGCGGGGGCATAAAACCGAGGAGGAGGAGGCCTGATGCTCTGCTCTGCTCTGCTCTGGATTTGGTATTCAGAGCTTCGGGGGGGGGGGGGGGGGCCTGGT